CTCCCCTGGCCCAGCTGGAGGCCGTTCCCTCTCCTCCTGGCCCTGTTCCCTGGGAGCAGAGCCCGACCCCCCCCCGGCTCCCCCCTCCTGTCAGGGATTGCAGAGCCAGAAGGTCCCCCCTGAGCCTCCTTTTCTCCAGGCTGAGCCCCCCCAGCTCTCTCCTGTCAGGAAGGGCAGTCCCTCCCCACCAGCACAGTTGCACAATTGCTGCCCTCGGCCAAACCACAGCCCGGAAACGACTCACCAGTAACCTCCAAACCATTAGTTTACATTCTTTGCTACCAGTTCTGTGTTTCCTTCCTCCTTCAATGAGCACAGCTGTTTGGTTTTTTTTTTTTCCTTTTCCAAGCCTTGATTTCCCTGGAACATTTGGCCAAGCATTGTTAAACTGCCCCCAGTTATTACTATTTCTGTTCTTTATTTACTCAGCTGAAGCCCATCCCAGCCTTCCAGCCTCTCCCACCGCACTCTTGGGTGCTGATGAGCTTCTCCTGCACCTGAATCAAATGTAATCAAGCCCTGATGGCCAAAACCTGAACACTGACTGGGGCCTGGAGCAGCCCCTGCTGTGAGCCGAGTCCTGCACTGCCTACAGCTCTTCTCACACTTCCAAACCACCTGTTGGGATGTTTGGGTGCTTTTTATTAGAAGTAATTTTTTTGTTTCAATGGGAATCACTTACACAAAACCCCAAAGGTCTCATGTCACTTCTATAAAAACCCCAGTAGGTCTTTTTTGTCCTAAGTTCCTTTTATTTTTATGTGATTTAGTGTTTGGTATAAACCCCCTACTTACATTATTCCTGTACCGAGTCAGTATCTGTTGTTCCCAGAGCTGTCCTTGTAGCACCAGGCTCTTATTTTCCAATACTTTGGCTTTTGAGGGCACCATTTTTTTTTAAATTTAATTAAAGCTGTCAGCACAGAGCAGATGTCTCTGAGCTGCCTCGCTGCTGCCAGGAGCGTCCGGGCAGCCATCCCAGTCCCTGCAGGAGGACTCCAGCCATGTCCCCACTGTCCCTGTCCCTGCAGGTGTCGAGATGTGTCCCCACTGTCCCAGTCCCTGCAGGTGTCCAGCCGTGTCCCCACTGTCCCAGTCCCTGCAGGAGGTGTCCAGCCATGTCCCCACTGTCCCAGTCCCTGCAGGAGGACTCCAGCCATGTCCCCACTGTCCCTGTCCCTGCAGGAGGACTCCAGCCATGTCCCCACTGTCCCAGTCCCTGCAGGAGGTGTCCAGCCGTGTCCCCACTGTCCCTGTCCCTGCAGGTGTCGAGATGTGTCCCCACTGTCCCAGTCCCTGCAGGAGGTGTCCAGCCATGTCCCCACTGTCCCAGTCCCTGCAGGAGGACTCCAGCCATGTCCCCACTGTCCCTGTCCCTGCAGGTGTCGAGATGTGTCCCCACTGTCCCAGTCCCAAAAGGCAATGCAGTTTTGGGAAGCTGAGGATTGTCTGCTCCCAGCTGGAAGCCCAAAGCAAACTTGGGGCACTTCTAAACCAGCTCCTTCAGTGGCTCTCGCATGACAACACAACCCCCCAGGTGAGACACCTGCTCCAGCCTTTACCTTTCCCTGCCCTGCTGGGCCTGACACGTGTTTGATCCGTTAATGAATTCAAGAGTCCTGGCAAAGGGAAGAATTCCTCCAGCTCGGTGGTCTGTGGCAGGGGTGAGACTTTGGCTGGTAGTTCTGGGACGAGCTCCTGCAGCCTTCCCTCACCCCGGCCCAGCCCACACCATCACTCCTGGCCTTGTTTTACTGAGGCATCACTGCCAACCCCTCCTTCCCTCCCGTCAGGGGAGGCACCACACAGAAGCAGCACAGAAGGAAAGGAATCTACAGGGGGAAATGTGAATGGATCTGTGATCTGACAGCGTTTCAAACGAGCTGTTTTGGTTTGAGGCTGAGCGGCACCTCGCTGGTTTAGAGCCACCACGAGCCCCACAGCACCTCCTGGCCAAGGCGTGGAGCTCACACTGTGGACGAGGGGCACCCTTGTCCTTGGGGGGCTGAGGAGCCATTTGTCAGGAGAACCACATTAATGTGTCAGGAGAACACGGACTCCAGCTCTGATTGAACAGCAGCACAACTGACTGCCGAGGCTTTTTTTAGGTTTGAGTGCAATTGCACCGAGAAAAGCAGAACCGTTCTGTTCCATTAGATCAGATCAATCCCTCACTGCACGGGGCTAAAGCAAGCGTTGGGAAAGATGGAAAATACTCAGTGGGGAAAGGGCTGGAAGAGACAAGCACAGAGCCAAGCAGAAATCAGCTCAAAGCCGTGTTGGGCAGGAGTCCAGCGTGGCAACTACTCTTCCAGGCCCAGTTCTGGACCCTCTACGCTTTTCACACCAGAAAGCCACACTACAATGAGCTCTGCAGTTCTCACCTTTCCAATATTTTGTCAATTTAGCCTCCAGCTTTTCCTGAACGACCACACTGTCAAAGGAGTGAGCAGAAGAGCCAGTCAATGAAACCACCTGGATCTGGGGAAGGCCAAAGCAGCACAGCCTGACATGGGACGGGCAGAGGGGTTGGGACATCCAGGTTTCAGTACCTTAGTTCTCCATTCAGAACTGGGACAGAGAAACCAGTTCCAGAAGAATTTGGCATTCAAGATGTCAAAAGGAAACCAGAGGAGCATCAACTGCCCTCACTCTCCAACCTGCAGATGATTCAATAGTCATGAAAATGGGAATTCTCCCATTGTCCTTGAATTATATCCCTATGCTTTGCTCCTCCTCTTCTCTCTACAGCATGTGCTCTCATCTGTGTATAAGAAAAGGGGAAGCAGAGTGACCTCAGGGCTGTCCAAACCAACACTAGGGCAGTGGTGTTTCATTAAAATCATCCCATCAGTTCAACAGTGAGGGCACAACCCCGGAGTGACAACAACAATGCCACGGAGCAGGAACTCCAGTGAGATGGATATGGATGTAAAGCCAATGTCCCAGGCAGCAGCAATGGGCTGAGCCTGCTGCTGCTGGTTCTCTGGGCAACGTTAACTTGCAAGTGAATCAGTTTAACTTTTTGCTCTGTTTATATTGTTTTAATCTACGATAAGTGAGACAACAGAGCCTGATCCAACACGAGGGTGAGCAAAAAGGTGGCAGTGACTGAGAAACCCCAAGAGCTGCAGGCAGGACACAGCCAGGCCTCGGTCCATCTGCACACCAATACCTCCTGCAGCTCTTCTCTCTCTTAACCAAACCACTCCCAGTCATTTTTCAGAGGAACAGCCCTAACCCAGTGCTGTACAGTTATCATTCTCAGCCCAGGGCTCCCCAGGTCAGTCCCAGCACGGCCCCTGGTTCACGGCAGAGCACGGATTCAGGTGGGTACTCACACGATGTGGGCCAGGTCGAGTGGCTTTTCTGGCTGCTCGGGGAAGACGGGCCGGGGGGGTTCCCTGCTGGGGACGCAGCCCAGGGACTTACTGATGGCGTGGCTCAGCTTCTTCGCCGGGGATTTCTGGCATTGGGAGGGAAAACCAGAGTGAGGGGGATGTTGGGGCAGCACCTGCAATCAGAGTGTTAAAAAAGGCACAGGACAGAATATCCAGAAATAGCCAGTTCTGTTAAACCATTCCTGGGGAATCACTGCAGACACCACACAGGGGAACGAGGTCTGGGGGCATGGGGGGGTTCCTGTGCTCTAATATTGAAAATTAAAAGGAGTTTACCAAAATTATGCGAGATTAAGAAATAAACCAATTATCTGGGGGTTCTCTCAGGAATTAAAGCAAGGGACAATCACATCCCATTAAGGGATTTTTTTCACTCCCTTTCGAGGCCCTCTGAACACAGATGTTGTGTTCGGAGGGGAGGAGCAGGACAGGAGCAGGTCACTTCCCAATTTTCTGTCCATCATGGGCAAAGCCAAGGTGGAACACAGTGTTAGGACAGATAGGAATGACCAGTTTCTTTATTTCCTTTCACAGATTCATTCTGTTGAATGACCTCACAGGAGCAATGATCCCAGATCCTCAGGAACGCTGAAAGGTTCCAGAGGTGCTGCCAGACCCACAGGAATGGTGAACTGCTCTGAGTTAGATGTGCAAAACATGGTTTAAATCCCGTATTGACTTTTACAAAGTTAAGTCTCAAAGTGTTATTGTATCCACCAAGCTCCTGGCAGGGCTGTGGGAGTCCTGGGAATGGTCTTTTCCAGCCTTAATGATTCCATGATTACGGGAGCTGTGAGGGTGGGCAGACCCTGGCACAGGTTGGGCAGAGAAGCTGTGGCTGCCCCTGGATCCCTGGAGTGTCCCAGGCCAGGTTGGACGGGGCTTGGAGCACCCTGGGCTGGTGGAAGGTGTCCCTGCCCATGGCAGGGGGTGGCACTGGATGAGCTTGAAGGTCCCTCCTAACCCAAACCACTCTGTGATTCTCTTAACACTAATTAACAATTTCAGACTTTTTGAAAAAGCTTTCAGGAGTCCAATTTATGTTCTTATTTATCTTCAGCTCCCCACGGCAGAGCAGATTGGTGTGACTTTATTTTCAGAGGCTCCCAACCCCTTCCCATTCCCTTCTGGCGCTGTGGGACGCGGCCAGCTCGGCCGCTCCACCCCAGCCCCTTCCCCTGGGAACGCCTGGCAGGGGATCCATCCCGGATTCCTCCCCTGGAATGGCACAGCCCGTGACTCAGCAGGGTCTGCAGCGCTGTGGCCCTTCCATCAGAGTGATGGAACCAAGAAAAACCAGGCACAAAAAAAAATGCAACGCGGACACGAGGCCCCTGCACCCTCCCTGGGCCCGGGCACCCCTGGCTTTGGGCTCCCTCCAAGATGTGAACTCACACAGCAGCTCCTTCCCCCTTCACTGACTCTCCAGCTGCTGAGGCATCCATGAAAGGTTCCAAGAGGTTTGGGAGATTCCTGTGTCACTTTGGCTCCAGCATCGTGCCAGCAGGGCAGCACCAAGGACACCTCCTGCTCCCCAGCACCAGGGGAGGGCCACTCTGGACACTGGGAACAATTCCTGTCCAGCCCTGGCACAGCTGCCACCCTTGGAGGGATTTAAAAGCCGTGTGGATGTGGCACGTGGGGACCTGGGTCAGTGTGGCCTTGGCAGTGCTGAACTTGATTATCTTGGAGATCATTTCCAACCTTCACAACTTCATGATTCTGTGATTTTTATAAACTTTGCCAGCTTTCTGAAATCCTTTCTTCATCAAATTCTCAGCCTTTTATATATTGAGACCTACCAGTCGAGGACTCTCACCCTTTGCCCAAACATATCAATAAATATTCAAAAGAAACAGTTTCCGCTTCTTTTTTCATCCTGTACAGAATAACAACACTCATGGGAAATGTTTGCCACCATAAGGGTTTAAGGAATCAACAAACCTAAATCCCTCTGGGCTGGGCACTCCAAACCTCCCTGGGCAGCCCCTGCCAGTGCCTGACCACCCTTTCCAGGGACAAATTCCTCCTGATGTCCCCCCTGCCCCTCCCCTGGCCCAGCTGGAGGCCGTTCCCTCTCCTCCTGGCCCTGTTCCCTGTTGCAGGGGGGGTTGCTGTGACTGACACCACCCGGCCATTCCCGGTCTGTGTGTGCCCTCTGCTGGGAACCCGCGCTAGGAAGGGATTTCCAGGTCATTTGGGATCGGGGCTCACGTGCCGGGCCCTGCACACAGCCGGGAACGTGTGGAGAGCGCCCCGGGAGCCGAGTGGGATCCGAGTGGGATCCGAGTGGGATCCGTGTGGGATCCGAGTGGGATCCGAGTGGGATCCGAGTGGGACACCGGGATGGCCGTCCCGCAGCCAGGGCTGGCCACAAACAGCTTCAGAAAGGTTTAATCATTTCAAGGGTGTTCTAAATGGGAAATGAAATGAGCCAGAAACACGGAAGACACGATTCCCCGAGCAAAACCTCATCAGCAGCTCCCACGGCATCGCCGGGGAGGCACAAGGGGCTGTCCTTGGTTTAGATCCCGTCACATTCCCCTGCAAGGACTCCCCACGGGAAGCCAGAGCCATCCTCACCCCAGGAACATCTGAACACGCCTTTGATTTGTTGATCTGTGATCCAAAGCCACCAGTTACGGTGGTTTTAAGTCACAAACACTCCATTATTTACAGCAAGAGGAGCATCCTGACCTGCCTACAGCTGAGAAACTCCCCCAAACCACACCCCAGGCACAAATTGGGGCAACCCGGGTAATTTAATTATAATATTTTAAATGTTAAATATTTATTTATATAAATATACTATATATATTTATATAAATATACTATATATATTTATATAAATAGATTTGTATTTCTATTAATATTAATATATTTATTATTATATTTGTTTATTATTAATATGTTAATATTAATATATTAATATACATCTATAAATATATTATATATTTATTATAGAAATATATTAAATATTAAATAACATTGATAATATTTTTCATTAACCTGAAATTTACTGCTGACAGATTGCTTAAGCTCAGCAAACTGACCCAAAACCCCCAGCCAGAATGAGCTCTGGCTAATCCCCCCAGGCTTTCAAAATGAACAGCTGGATTTTCAGTTCTGCTGCGTGCACGGAACACACTGAGCTGCGTCCAGGGCTGTTCAGTAAAACCAAAACTGAAAAGGCCCAACAGGAAACATTTGGAAAGTGTTTGAAGGTTTTTATCCCCCCCAAACAGGCCCCAACAAGCAGCATTTTCGTGCACTAAAACCTCTCTCAAAAACAGGTTTCTCCCTGAAGTTATAAATAAAAAATCACTATAGTAATAGATTTTAATATGCTCACTGGAGCAATATATATATTTATATGTATTAAAATCCCTATACTATGTGATTTACAGTATGAAAAAACTACCAAAGGCAGTTCAGAATTTCAGAAAAAAAGAACCTATAATAATAAGTGTATTAATAATAACATTAACAATAAGCATAATTACTAATAAATATGTTAATAATAGCACTAATAATAAGTATGAGGTGCTTATTATTAATGCTTATTCTGGGTCATATGGCTCCAAAACTCTGAAAATACACCAGGCAGGACTGAACTAGTTCTGGCTGGCACTGAAAACCTGGGAAAAGCAAATCTCTTGTTTGCCTGGACCAGAGCACCTGCTCAGCTGGAGCATTTGGGCTTTCACTCGAGGAATTATTGTTGAGCAAACACACAAGGAAGTCACTGAACCAGCAGTACAGTCCAAATCCAAAACTAGGATATGGTTTTTAAATTAAGATTCTTTTTCAATTATCATAAATTTAACACAGAAGACTTGCAGAAGTTGAAAAAAAAAAAAAAAAAAGAAATTAATATGTAAGAGATCTCTCTCTCAGAGGCTCCTCTTCCATGCTCAGTTGATGAGCTTGAAGGTCCCTTCCCACCCAAACCAGTCTGGAATTTTATGACTTAGATACATCTTTATATTCAAACCCCCAGACTGGATTTATATACACTTAAGGGGATAATAACCTACTCTTAGCTCAGATTAAACATTCCACAAGTTTAATACCCACAGAGTTATAAAAAGGACAATATTTAGGACTAAATTTTCCTTTGCCTCCCAACTCTGGACTGGGATCCAGCCCCAATTTTCTAAATTTAACAGCACTGCTATAATGGCACCTTCTCATGGAGATAATTACTAATTACAATCCAATCACCATCTGAACTTCTCTTTGAGTAAGTAAAAGGCTGGCTTTAATCTTTTGCCACAGAATAGGCTTTTCTACATAAAACTGTCCATTATTTCTTGAGCTGTGATTTTCAAACTGCATGTTATTGCTCAGGTGATTTCTTTAAGGCTTTTTTAATTAAGAGTTTTCCAGGCATATATATTTATACCTGGCAGGAGAATGACAATAATATGTTTTTCTCTTGAAGAAATACTGTCTTTAAAGGTGCCACTGTTGAGGATGGTGCCCTCAGCAGCACCTGAGCCCAGGGACAACCATCAGCAAATCCACATTATGGGTAAGAGAATCACAGAATTGTTTGGGTTGGAAAAGCCCTCCCAGCCCGTGGATCCCCCCTGTGCCTGACCCCCACCCTGTCCCCCAGCCCAGAGCACTGAGTGCCATTCCAGGCCTGCCTGGGACACCTCCAGGGCTGGGCACTCCAAACCTCCCTGGGCAGCTGTGCCAGGGCCCTCTGTCCCAGCCTGGAATGTCCCAGGGGGTTGTTGTGACCCAGGGGCAGGACCTGGCACTTGGCCTGGTTGACCCTCACACCACTGACCTCAGCCCACGGATCCAGCCTGTCCTGATCCCTCTGCAGGGCCTTCCTGCCCTCCAGCAGATCCACATCCCACCCACCCCGGTGTCATCCCTGACCTGACTGAGGTGCCCTCGATCCCCTCGTCCAGATCATCAGTAAAGATGTTAAACAGGTCCAGTCCCAGTGCTGATCCCTGTGGAACCCACTGGAGCCCATTCCCAGCTGGGTGGGACTCCACTCCCCACCTCTCCCTGGGCCATCAGCCAGGTTTAACCCAGTGAAGAACAAACAATAACCCCAGTGCTGTTCCCATCCGTGCACTTCTGCTCTTTGGAGAACTTGGAAAGCCCCTCTGAGGATTTCTAGGCTAAAAGCTGTAACTTCCAGAAGGAGTTAGCAGGGGGAGGCCGTTCCAGCCCCAGTTACCCAGGAGGAGTGCTCCTTCATCTGGTGCTGGTTGCTGTGGGGGCCGCTGGCGTGGCCTCTCCAGAAGCAGTTCTGGCAGAGCTGGTAGTTGTGGCACTGCTGGCACCGGTACCGGAATCCCATCATGCTCTCACAGTGGCAGTACGAGCACTCCACGGGGTGGAAGACTGGCAGGAGGGGGAAAAAACAAAGAGAAAAAAGGTATCAAGTCAAATTTAGGAAAACCCATTTTGCTGCAGCTTCCAAACTACCCCCAGGTCCTTCCCCACTTGTTATTCAGGGCAGGATTTTGAGCGGAAGAAACCAAAGATGAAGGTGAGAATGAGATGAAGGAGAATACACCTTACCACAGGAAATGCATCCTGAGAGGTGAGGGACAGGGAACAGAACCAGAACCAGGGCCTCCCCACCCTCCCAGCCTTCCCAATCTCCCATCTCTCCCTGCCCTCTGGCAGTGGGAAGCCATTCCCTGTGTCCTGTCCCTCCATTCCTTGTCCCCAGTCCCTCTCCAGCTCTCCTGGAGCCCCTTCAGGCTCTGGAAGGGGCTCCAAGGTCTCCCTGGATCCTTCTCTTCTCCAGGTGAGCCCCCCCAGCTCTCCCAGCCTGGCTCCATAAGTTCTCCCCCACCTTTTCAAAACTGTCCCTTCCCCTCCCTGGTTCCTGCAGTCAGCAGAGATTCCTACTGATAAAAGGGGACAAAACCACCACAGTGTCCTGAACCAAAGAGTCCAAACACTGACAGGGGGATCTGGGAAAGCAGTTACACATTCTGCTAAAATAAAACCAGAGGCACAACAACCCCAGGGACAGCACCCCACGTCCTGCTAAAGAACCGTGGGTAAAGAGGAGACTGCAACAACCAGCATCAGGAATATTAGATCAGGGGCAAGGCACCTGCCAGCAAGAAGGAAACCAAAGAGGTGGGAGCTCTTTGGTGTGGCTGCAGAGTTTTTTGGGGTTTTACTTGTATATCCCATTTACCATTTTCAACATGGGCGAGTCTGTGCATGAGAGGGAGCCACACAAGGCACTGGGGAGGAGGATCAGCCATCAGCGTGTCCAAGAACATGTTTAGCATGATCTTCTTCTGCAAAGAAAAGAGTGAGAGAACTTGATTATATAGAAAAATTCTGATTTTATACACCAGAAACTACTTCAGCCTTAAAATTTCTCTGTGGCACAACTTGTGCCTGCCAGGAACATTTCACAGACTGTCTTAGAATCCAGGAACCTCAGACTGGGCTGGGTGGGAAGGGACCTTAAAGCTCATCCAGTGCCACCCCCTGCCATGGGCAGGGACACCTCCCACCAGCCCAGGCTGCTCCAAGCCCCGTCCAACCTGGCCTGGGACACTCCCAGGGATCCAGGGGCAGCCACAGCTTCTCTGGACAGCCTGTGCCAGGGCCTGCCCACCCTCCCAGGGAGGAATTCCTTCCCAATATCCAATGTAAATTTGGAGCCTCATCGGTTCTGAAATCAAAGGTTGTTTCCCACTGTGACATATCCCAAATACACTAATTGCTAATTAACTCGTATTTAGTGACTACACATTTTACACCTAAATACTGCAGAAATATTTCTGCTGGAACATCAGAAACATCATGCCCAGAGTCTAAACATTTAATCTGAGGCTTAAGATCACACCCAGGTTCATGTTTACAGTTGAGTTAAATACTATTTACATTATCTCAAATGAGAAACAAATCACTGGAACAACTAAATTACAACTGAAATCGACTTAAAAATAAACTGCACCTAAAGAAGGCGTTTATTTGGTGCAGACTCGGCCAACAAGGAAGTGACTCGATGAAACAAATTGTGAAGAAGCTTTAAAAAAATCAAAAACAATAGCAAAAACGCTGTGTTTCATGTTCTGGAAAAGAAATGGCTCATCCCTGCTGCTCTGGTGGGGAACTGGGGTGTGACTTCAAGGAGGGGAATCAACCACAGTGGTGGAAGATCCTTTAATTGCCTAGTTAAGGTTGCCTTAAAACTGCTTAAAACAGCAACCCCCACCCTCCCAACCTCCCCAAGCCACGGACTTGATGAAGCAGGAATTCCAAGCCCTGGCTGGGAACTCTCACCTGCTGTGGGAAGCAGGTCCGTACGGAGTGCTCCGTGTACCCAAAGGAAGGCCCCTCAAACACGGCTGTTGGGAGTTTCAGAACTTCCTTCAGAAACTGGTCAAACTTGGTAAATATCATTAGTCCGTTGGAATCTGATATCTGAGAGAAAATATCTGTAAGAAAATATAATAAAACCCGATAGTAAATACAGATTTATTATAGCAAAAAATATTTCAATCCATTTGAACCCCAAGATGTTTCTGTTTTATCTGGAACACAATTTATCACTTGCTACGAAGATAAAATTTATAAATGCACATATTGCAACATGTCATGGTACAAATCTTCCTCTTTCCTCCATCTCATCTCATCCAGTCCAGAGGAAAGACCCTGCCAGTGCATGAACTGGGACAGAGAGGGAGCAGAGCAGGATAAATGTTACACAGCATCACAACTTCAGGGTGACGCCACAGAAACCCCCCTGAGCAGCCTCCTCCAAACAAACACAAGGTACAGCATCCCCAAGGTACAGCACAGGAGTTGTGCAGGAGAGCAGGTGGGGAGGGGAATCAGATTCCATGTTAGACC